GGTTAGATCAACTTAGCTACAGAGGGCTCTGATTAGAGTAACTTAGCTACAGAGGGCTATGGTTAGAGCAACTTAGCTCCAGGGGGCTCTGGTTAGAGCAGCTTAGCTCCACTCCAACATGCTCATGTAATAACACTGTGTAACGTGATGTTAAATTATTCCAGGTCACAATATAGGTGAATTCAACAATTAATAATTATGCATATAATTATAATAATCTTATCTGTATGACCGTAATCAATGTGGTACAGTTTTAGATTTCATAACCAGACAGACCTTAATTTAATAATCGCCAAAGTGGCACCTCTACTACCTAATTTCATTTTAAATTTCATAATCTGATGTTGAAGGCCACGTGGCTAAATATAATTTCCCCGTTCATTATATCGGGAGATAACGAACGTCAAATCGATTTTCATTTGGTAGGTGGAATTTTTGTGAAGTAATTACCTGGCACGCCAATCCCTGTGTGCGACGCTCTTTTCAAGCTTCCCGAACAGTTAGAGAAGCAAGCAATAGACTAGCAAGCTAGGTAAGTGAAGCAAGGGCTTGCAGCTTGGTTGGTGGGGATCGAATTCTGTCTTGCTGCAACTAGCGTCATTTCTCTACCCTGAATTAAATTATCTGTAAGTATAAAATACAAAATTATCATTAAAGTAATAGTTAGGGCAAGAGTTGATTTTTCTGTGAACAAATTCGTAACAAAGGTTTGTCTACTGGAATGTGTTGTCCATAGTCCCAGGAACCACCAAAAAAAACCGTCCAGCTGAAACTTTTGGGCAAAAATTTTTATAGTCATTTTTCTCCAGGAACCCATACGCCCCACTCCTAATATTGGTTATTCGGCTCCCGAAGGTCTTGAGATCTCCATAGGGGGTGCAAAATGACCGCAATGGCCACATTATGGCAGGCGAATGATAGTTTCAGAACGATTGGAGCTTTATTTTTCGAAATAAATGGAATTTTTCGAAATTTTTCACAATTTTATTGAAATTTCGAAAAAAATACACCAAATTATTTTTAACGCTTATTTCAAATCTTACTCGGGAAATAACTTCAATTAACAAATATCAAGGTTAACTAACAAACAACAGATTATTGACCGACCCCCAGACAGCTATTCGACGGTACATGCTACTCTGGTTGAATGTCTTAAGTTATCCAACAGTGAGCTGATGATAATCACATTCGATTTGCCATTGTGCATTAAGGCCACCCGAATAGTACTGGAAACTGGGATGCCTATTGTGGTCAGGGTTGGGGGCTTCCACACTCTCACGAGTTTTCTTGGCTGCATAGGCTATATAATGGCAGACTCGGGTTTAGAGGAGCTCATCAAACTCGTGTATCCTGGAGAGGTCACGCATATATCGAATGGAGGATCTTACTATAAAGCGTTGAGAGCCCACTTTCTGATCGACGCCGCTCTTTGTTGTTTCATTATAGAGGAAGAAGGTTACGACGATGAACTAGTAGACTTGGGAGGTTACATCAACAAATGTGTGAACGAAAATCTAGGTGTTAACTTTAAGACTAAATCTATTCAGGATCTATCAGAGAAAATAACTCTGCTTCTAAAGAACCTGTTTTCCAACAGTAGAACAGCAGCTCTATGGGTTACTTACCACAACATGATAACACTAGTAAAGGACTTCATAAGAGCAGAGAGGTTGCACGACTACAATATGCATTTATCAGCAGTAGCTTTGATGCTGCCCTACTTCGCAGCAGCTGGGAGGGGACAGTATGCAAAAGCTTTAAGACTGTATTTGGAGCAGGATGCTATTTTTAAAGTCAAGTATGGGGCGCTTTTAAAGACCTTTAAAGTAACTGGGCTTCACACGGTTTGTTACAACGACCACGAGTGGGCCGGAGTGTGGACTGACCTCTCCATATACATAGAGCAGAGTCTTATGAGGGCAGCTAAATCTAGTGGTGGATTAACAAGTGGAAGGATGCGTAATCGTGAGTCCGCTCACAAGTTATGGGTGGCCACCCTGAATCAGATGGCTTTAATAAATCAGTCTTTTGGAGATTCATTAGCTAATTCATCGAAGCGAGGAGTACCAACTAAAGCTGCCATCCACTCAGATCTTACCAAGTCATCAATCAAGAAAAACTGTGATGTATTTGGAAAATAATTAACTTGGTTTAAAGTTACTGTCGACTTTACAGAATCCGAAGATAAGACTAAGTTAATATCTTTTTCGACTGGTCTTATATCACAGCCTGGGAACGATGAGGTGAATCCCGAGGAATGTTTGGCCGTTGGGGCTGTCCTTCAACGTGAGCTAGATGGGTTGACATTCATCGATAAGATAAGTATCAAAGTTAAAGCAAAGAACTTGACACAACTAAGAAAGCAGGTTAAAGTGAATAATAAAAGCGTTGCAGTCGATCCGTTGAAGTGTTTTAACCGTCTAGTCTTGGTTGCTGATAGAGAGACTTCAATAGAGGAATGCCTAACATACGAGTTAACTGTGGTGCCGATGAGCTTATTTGATCAATATCAGATGATGAGGAAATCTAATAAGGCTGCTCTTGGTATAAACCAATCTACACTTAAATCTTGCAGCTTCACGATCCCACTAGTCATTGATGGAGGTTGGCTAATTCACCAACTAAGCTCATTTAAAGGGTGGGACAATTATGGTGAGGTAGCAATGGAGTACTTGAAGCTTATCCCTAAAAATCGGGAAGTTACTGTGATTTTTTATGGATATGAGCCTTCTACTAAAGATCACGAGCACAAGAGGAGAGTAAAAGCGTTCTGTGCTAATATTGCTGTAAAAAAATCCACCTTTTGTACTGTCACCAAAACAACATTTCTGAGCAACAACAATAACAAAAAAGAACTGATCGACCTTATCTCAAGCATTTTTACTGTAAATGGTATTGAAGTGATCAGAGCTTGTAACGATGCTGATACTTTAATTGCAAAGAAAACATTGGAAATGTCATTCCTTGGCGATGTTGAATTGAAGGCAGAGGATACCGATATAGTTCAAGTCTATTAGTACATCATTTCAACAGTGACCATCACAATGATATTTATCTAACAACGAAGAAGGGTACATATTCAATCAATCAAATATCAATTCATCTAGATCATAAAGAAAAGGAGATACTTCTTCTAATTCATAGTATTTCAGGTTGTGATAGCGTCAGTGGACTGTTTCAGGGACAAAAGGATTTCGCGGCATGTACGAAACCGCGAAATTTCCCATTCTCCGCGACAAATTTTATGTATAGTTTAATATACCGCGAAATGTATTTCGCGGTATCGCGATTTTTGGCCAAAATCGCCGCGAAATCCTTTTGTCCCTGGACTGTTTGGTTTTAGCAAGGTTAAAGTGCTAAAGAGAGCTCTCACCTTTGATGAGCAAGGTCAGTTGGCAACATTACTTTCGGTGAGAGAATCAAAAGAAAAGATTATTGAGGCAGGCCTCTGTTTCTTGCAGTACATTTATGGTGACAAGAAAAAGACTCTTTCTGCTTTGAGATTCCTAGCATACAATACCAGGATGGTAGCGAAAAAGAGTCTCAATCCGAATAGGCTACTTCCAACAATAGCTTCAGCAACGGAGCACATCCTTAGAGCTTACTTACAGTACCATAATTGAGTCATGCTTAACGCTGACAGTCTGAATCCCCTTGACTACGGCTGGAAATTGGCTCCTGGTACGAACCAGTTGCACCAGAGTCTATTTTGAACCTTATATGTTGTAACTGTTCTGTCGATGTGGAACAGGCCTGTTTGACTTTCAGATGTTCATGTAGGAAATATGGCTTCAATTGTTTGCCAGCTTGTGGACGATGCCATGGTATGAACTGCACAAACATTAGACATGATGAACCTGAAGAACAAGCGAATTTTGATTAATATTAACTGTGTATTAATAATTGTCATGGTACTTACTGAGCTGAGAGTCGGTCAATAATCTGTTGTTTGTTAGTTAACCTTGATATTTGTTAATTGAAGTTATTTCCCGAGTAAGATTTGAAATAAGCGTTAAAAATAATTTGGTGTATTTTTTTCGAAATTTCAATAAAATTGAGAAAAATTTCGAAAAATTCCATTTATTTCGAAAAATAAAGCTCCAATCGTTCTGAAACTATCATTCGCCTGCCATAATGTGGCCATTGCGGTCATTTTGCACCCCCTATGGAGATCTCAAGACCTTCGGGAGCCGAATAACCAATATTAGGGGTGGGGCGTATGGGTTCCTGGAGAAAAATGACTATAAAAATTTTTGCCCAAAAGTTTCAGCTGGACGGTTTTTTTTGGTGGTTCCTGGGACTATGGACAACACATTCCTGTAGACAAACCTTTGTTACGAATTTGTTCACAGATTGACCCATAAACAGCAATTCTTGCCCTAACTATAACGTCATAACAAGTGCACCTTTCAATTTTTGTTGGGGATTGAGGAATGTAAAATTATAGTAACATTGATCAATCGTCAAAGTGCATCAGCTCAACAAAGTTTAATCTGGAAATTAAAATTAGAAATGAGAAGAAGTATCCATGGGGACTAATTATTTTGCAGAAGCACGTTTCTCACTAATTATGAGTATTATGGGAAAACAATACAAATGTTCAATAAAGCTGTGAGAGTGAAATCTAAAACTTAAGATCTAATAAAATTATGTGAGTTTAAATTCTGAACATACCGAACTCCGAAGTGAGTATCGGTCAGTGACGTCACTATGGTCACACCGCCAAGTGGCAGAGGAGGGAGTTATCAGTTACAGGTCATGTGATCTCCGATATTAGAAACGAGTGAGCACCTGAAAAGTGAAAAGTTATACTTTTAGTGATTTTACCTGCGTCAATTATAATAAATATTCAATTCACTTGTGAAGGATGAATATAGCGACATTGGAATTTTTATTAATGTATTTCGTGAATCTATTATCTTTTTATGCTAAATTATAAAACAAAACGTTTTTACTCGAAATTGAAATGAAACGGGTCTTTTCCCAAAAAAATTTGATAATACTGTGTATAATTATGATTATATTTTAGTTAATCTATCATAATTTACTTGCAGTAATTCAAAAACATTGGAGCACTACTGGTTAAAATATGCAACATTTAACGTCAATGTCATGACACAACCGATTCAGGCTTTAATTAATCCCCTGAACTAAGACATGCAAAGAAGTGCAGCATTAAAATAAAATTAAAACCAATTGAGAAGCGAATCCTACAAAAACTTAAAATCTTAATGTCTGATCTTCTATAAGTTTAGATCTTCAACAAAAACGATATATTTGTCAGGCCAGCTCTAAAATCATGCAAGGTGTAAAAGATGGTCCATGAAATAGAGGTCTACATATTATCAGTCTTTGGTCTACATTCCAGTATCAGTTTTGAGTATGTTAACTCTCTGTGTTGTTTTCACATGGTGATTCTTCGTGGCTAAGTCGGAAATGATCTATCATGCCGTCTGTCAATTCTACCCCAACGAACTGTTCTGAAAATAACTCCATGTTTAGATTCAACCATTCGAGTTGAAAGAAATCTGGATGCATAGGATTTGAATTGTGTGGGTTAAACAGAAAATATGGTACAGACCAGAAGAGTCAATGTTTGCCGTTACTGAATACTTCATACTAGTATAATATTATGTTATTGTTAATAAAGCTGTATCAGCAAATTATCATCTATTCAGCATGTACTCAGTAGACCGGAGGAATTAAGTTAATATTGGTTACTCACTCAGCATTGTAGGCCAGGACAGTTGCTTGTAAACCTCGCATTCGTGTTCATTGTGATAGTGCCTAAAGTGACTGATGATCCCGTCTGTGATGTTCGTGCCGACAAATTTACCTGAATATTTTAACCGAGTTAATTGGATTACTGATTTTCTTTTCAAGTGGTTATCCCAGAACTGTAATAAATACCACTAACAAGCCTGATTGATGAATAAACTAAAAACTTTATCTTCACTTTACTAGGTTAATTAAAAAAGTTTGATATAAATATAAATAAGTACTGACGTAGCAAGCCCCAGCTTGTAGTGAGCTGCTCATACAGATCATCAGAGAACACCACATTGTGGTACGGGGCGGTAAATAACACATCCCAACGGGTGATATCTTCGTACTTTCTAGCTCCTTCCAGCAGGGACTTTATCTTTGTCATGTTAGCAGCGCAGGTTTCCAACTCCTCCAGTGTTCGGTTATGCTCTGTAGTTTCAGCTTCAAGTTGACTTCTGATGGTGGCTAGTTTGACTTGTGACGCATTGAAACGGCCAGTTTCAGCTCCAAGTTGACTTCTGACTGTGGCCAGTTCGGCTTGTGACGCATTGAAACGGCCAGTTTCAGCTCCAAGTTGACTTCTGATGGTGGCTAGTTCGGCTTGTGACGCATTAAAACGACTAGTTTCAGCTCCCAGTTGACTTCTGATGGTGGCTAGTTCGGCTTGTGACGCATTGAAACGACTAGTTTCAGTCTCAAGTTTGTCCTCGGTCCTGTTCAACTGTCCAGTCAGCCTTTCAAGTTCCTTTTTCACACTCTTAAGCTCTACCGCTGTTTCGTTCAGACTCGCTTGTGACTCACTAAGTTTCTTTTTCCAAGGACACCCCACAACTTCGCTCACAGACCCGCTCCTCGACCTCATTACAATATCCTCCCAGCGTAACACTCTCGTCTCAGATAGCTCATCCAAGTCGAAACACAATCCACCATTCGCTATCTTCTTTATGTCAGCAGCACTCAGGACATCAGCAAACATGTTGAATTGAAACAACTGACCCCCAAACCTATAAGAACTACTAGTGCTATAATATCTTCCAAACCACAACTGTCCGCCCATGCCTAGTGACCTCCCTGCTGCTGTCTGGGCTGTTCCCAGGAGTTCACCATCTAAATACACCTTACTTGTCCTTGACGACAGAGACCATGTGAGGCAGAAACTAAACCACTTACCGGTGGGCGTGGTAAACTTACCACTTGTTGAGCTACTCAGACCATCATCTCCTACTACACGAGTGTATTGCCCATTAGACATCATAATGATCTCCCAGTTATCAGAGCTTGAATGGTAGTTAAACAATGTAGGTCTGCTTGGGGAGGTGTGCAGATGCTTTATCCATGTGCAGATTGAAAGGGACTCACGGAAAGGGGACATATCAAAACTAAACGTCACATAATCACTACTGCTAGTTCCAAACTGCAAGGCATTATACCCTCCTTCAGCATCATCGGAATGGACGGACGCTACTAAAATCAGCACAACTAAGAGGGGCAACATATCGGCGGAGTGAATGTCAGGAATAACACTTTTAGTTTTACTGATTAATGTGCTACAGTGCCCTGTCTAATTACACAAAATTAGAAGATGGAGACTTTCTGGAGTTGGAATAAATACTTTAACCGTGATCTTGCACTGAACCGGACAATATTAATGTTATCTACAATCGAACAAGGTGGCACGGCAAACCTTACACAGCTGGCATAATCCTCAAACCGGATAACTGGGCTGCATATTATCATGTTCATTCCTTGGTTTATTTGTTGTTCAGATGTCGTGTAGCCTTCGCAGCGCTTGTTTGAAACATATAATTATAAAATAAGGTTTCTGGATCGTAAAGTGCGATATTATATTATATAAGTTTTGAAATTATATTTCAGTTAACTCGATTTAATTTGCAATGCAGATGTGAACGGAAAGATTGAAGTAAAGATGGTTCAGTACAACTACAAAATCATGGTAAAGAAAATGGTTACCCATTTTCGGTGTCCATTTTCAAACGGACGTGTTTTACTGGTTTTACTGGTTAGTGCGATTATCATAATCCATAATCGCAATTATTCGCACTACAAGGGAGCGAAATCATTGTACTATACATCGTCACCCGGAATGGAATGTTACTTTCAATAGATGTAGATACTGGCGGGGAGGTGATAATTGTTTGTTTACATTTTAGGTCGAGCACATGTTCAGCAGGCTGAGGAGGTGATACATATTTTGTATTATAGAAGGCTTGTAACACTTGTAACGCCTTTTTGTTACCCCCCTTTGAGGGCCCCGAATTATTTTCTGAACGAAAGCTCAAAAATAACCGAGAAATCGACCTTCTTATTAACTCATTTTGATGATTAAAATTGCATGAAAAATCGAATTAACTAACGCGTGGCAAAATATAATTTCCCCGTTCATTATATCGAGAGGTAACGTACGTCAAATCGATTTTCATTTGGTAGGCGGAATTTGGTGAAGTAATTACCTGGCACGCCAATCCCTGTGTGCGACGCTCTTTTCAAGCTTCCCGAACAGTTAGAGAAGCAAGCAATAGACTAGCAAGCTAGGTAAGTGAAGCAAGGGCTTGCAGCTTGGTTGGTGGGGATTGAATTCTGTCTTGCTGCAACTAGCGTCAATTCTTTACCCTAAATTAAATTATCTGAATTCTGTAAGTATAAAATACAAACACATTATTATTAAAGTAACGTCATAACAAGTGTAATTGTCAATTTTTGTTGAGGAATGTAAAATTATAGTAACATTCAATCGTCAAAGTGCATCAGCTCAACAAAGTTTAATCTGGAAATTAAAATTAGATATGAGAAGAAGTATCATGGGGACTAATTATTTTGCAGAAGCACGTTTCTCACCAATTATGAGTATTATGGGAAAACAATACAAATGTTTAATAAAGCTGCATGAGAGTGAAATCAAAAACTTAAGATCTAATAAAATTATGCGAGTTTAAATTCTGAACATACCGAACTCCGAAGTGAGTATCTGTCAGTGACGTCACTATGGTCACACCGCCAAGTGCCAGAGGAGGGAGTACTCAGTTACAGGTCATGTGATCTCCGATATTAGAAACGAGTGAGCACCTGAAAAGTTATACTTTTACACGATTTACACGATTTTTACACGATTAGAAAATTTATTTGTTATACTGGAATAATAACAATTTTAAAATATAAAATAAATCACTTCCCTCTGAAGTAGAACAGATGATGGGAGAGCTTCAAACATGGCGATGGAGGGAAGCGGTGTCTCACCGCTGGGAGGTAAATTAATACCCGTATCGCGATGGTAAAATTTTATGATATGAGATCTCAAGTAAAAAATAACACAAAAAATAAAAAGTGAATGTTGTCAGTGTAGTGAAATCGGAGGCAACATTAATAAAGACGTATACACTTAAACCGTTACAATTATAGTCCCTATCTTGTTTTAAATACTCACAATAAAATACACACAAAAAACACACAAACGTCCCCAAAACATTAACTTCAATTTATATTTCCCTAGTTGAAATTAACTTATTTTATGAAATTGATACATTCGAGAAGATATCGTGATTACATGGTAGCCATCCATGATCCCCATTTAGCCCTAGGTTTTGTATATGAAGCAAATGGTTCTTAAATCTCTTTTTAAATAGTGAAATTGACAAAATATGATACGGTACATCATGATCAAGGAGATAATTTAAAATTTTGGATGCATTAAAAACAAAATTACTATTCTTGGTCTTAGACATTGAGAATTTAAGATATAGCAGTCTGCATGATCTACTTGACTTGCTAAACCGGCGATAAACATCAATAGGAATTTTTTCTTTAAGTAGCCTCATTGCAATACATCCAGTAAAGTATGTGAATAAGTTAAACAAGGTTAATAATTTCAAACGAAAGAACATTGGTTTAGTATTTTGAAACTTGTGATCAATCTTTATTGTTTTTCTACTCACAATACGAATACATTTTTTCTGCAACACAAACAGTTTTTGCAGCAAAGGATGGTGAAAAACAGCACCCCACAGTGGTATACAATACATTAAATATGGTTGAACAAGTGAAATATATACTTGTCTTAACACTTTGGCTGGTACTATAGAACTTATTGAGTAGAGTGATCCGCAAGATTTTGAAACTTGCGTTATTACATTGGTAATATGATCATTCCACGTTAAATTAGAATTAATAATGACTCCCAAAAATTTACACTTATTCACTTGATTAAACTGGTTGTTAAGTATTCCAACAAACTTTTGATTCTTAGGAACTTTACTATTTCCGAATTCCATAAAACAGCATTTTTCAAAATTAATGATTAACCTATTTAAGCAGCAATATTCGTGAATCTTTGATAATACCTCATTAGCATTTTTGTAAAGTAAATTTCGGTCTTTATTTTGAAGAAAAAGGTTTAAATCGTCCGCAAAGAGGATAAATTTAGCTAACTCACAAATATTTGCCAAATCATTGATAAAAATAATGAAGAGCAGGGGGCCTAACACTGACCCCTGTGGAATACCACAGGTTATTTTTAAGAGACAACTTTCGAATCCCCCATAGCTAACATACTGAACCCGATCTGATAAATAACTGTTTAATAATTTAATGACATTTCCTCGAATACCATAGTTCTCCAGCTTTTCTAACAAAATATTATGCCGCACTGTATCGAAAGCTTTGGAAAAATCTATAAATATACCTAATGTAAAATTCTTATTATCGATAGCATCATGAAGATTTTCTACTGCTGAAACAAGTGCATGAAAGGTTGAGTGCTTACTGCGGAAACCAAACTGATTATCACAGAAAAGATTGTGCTTATTAAAGAAATCAGATACGTTTTTATGTATTAACTTCTCAAAAATCTTAGCAAAAACAGGTAACATTGAAATAGGACGATAATTGCTTATATCAGAAATAGATCCTTTATTCTTATACAAAGGAATTATTTTTGCTGCTTTTAATTCTTTCGGAAAATAACCTTCATTTGCACATTTATTAAAAATATCAGCCAGTAAAGGACTTATAGTGGTAGCTAAAAGTTTGAGGTTTTAGTGTTTTAGGTTTTTACCTGCGTCAATTATAATAAATAATCAATTCCACTTGTGAAGAGGATGAATAAATCGAAATCGGATTTACTAATCTTTATCTTTTTATGCTAAATTACATGGAGTTTTTTGCTATCAATAACGCTGACGACACGAAGCGTAAGTTTAAAGCCACACGTGCCCTTGCCACTAATAAACAAGCAGAACCAATATCAGTGTTCAACGCAGACAATCAGCTCGTTGGAAACGATGAAGAGAAGGCTGCCATTGTCCGAGAATGGTTCTTGCAACACTATGCCAGTTCAGAACCCCCTTTACAACCCTTCATAGGACCTCCTAGACCCCTTCAGACTCCTATAACCTGTGAAGAAGTACAGTTTGCAGCCTCAAAGTTGAAGAATGGTAAGGCAGTAGGCCCAGATCAGATTCCCAATGAGCTTCTAAAATATGCTCCTGAAAATTTCTACAGACAATATGCTACCCTCATTAACCAATCTTTTGAGCGTAATGAACATGTTCCATATTTTACAGAGGGATATTTAGCACCACTGCAGAAGCCTGGCAAACCCAAAGGACCAGTTAAGAGTCTCAGGCCCCTATGTCTTCTCAACGGCACTAGGAAGCTCTTGTCCCTTATAACACTTCACAGGGTCAGGAGACAGATTGCTGAGTATACTGGACCCTGGCAAAATGCGTACAAGGCAGGTCACAGTTGTGCGAATATTGTATGGACCCAACGCCTACTTATATCTGTAGTGAAGGAGAAAAGATGGGAATTCTCCAAAATGGGCATTGATATGAGCTCAGCTTTTGACACCATAAAGCGACCAGTAATTCTTGACTTGCTAAAGGAAGCTGGTTGCTGTGACGACGACATCAGGTTAGCAAGGTATTTGTTGTCAAATACCAAGCTCAGAATTAAGATTGACGAAACAATCTCTCTGGAGTTTGAAACCTCCAACGGATCTTTCCAAGGTGATGGAGCTTCAGGGGCATTTTTTACTCTATACTTTGCTGGCGCTCTGTACCACTTAAGAGTAGTGTTATCATTTCACTTCCTGCGTCCAAACCCTCCTTTTGACCCAGACTCTCTCTTACCAATAGAATGGGAGTATGCAGATGATGCAGATTTCGGTGATGAAGACGAAGAAAATCTGCATGAGATGCTGCCTATTTGCAGAGAAATCTTGGCTGAATGGGACCTACTTGTTAACGAAGACAAGACTGAATTTGTCCGTTTCTATATAGCAGACAAAACAGATGTCGACAAGAAAGGAGAGCCATTAAGAGGTAGAGAGCCATGGAGGAAGAGTGTGTCACTGGGATCCAGGCTTTGCAGCAAATCTGACATACTTCACCGCTGTATCCTAGCTAATGTTGCTTTCGAAAAGTACAACAAAGTCTGGCTGGAAAAGTCCCGAATTTCACTGGACACCAAAGTGAAATTATACGAGGCCCTTGTTACCCCAGAACTGCTGTACAACTGCAATAGCTGGGCCGCTCCAGAGAAAATCCTTCAGAAAGTGGATGTGTGTCAGCGCAAACATTTGCGGCGGATAATGAACTCCGCTTATCCCCGAATCATCAGTAACCGAGACCTTTATGCTCGTTGTGGGGTGACTCCATTAACAGAGAGGGTTGCTAAGTCTCGCTGGAAAATGCTCGGTCATATCCTTAGAAGTGATTGTAACTCCCCACCCCAACTAGCATTGAGTTTTACTGTTGAGAGTATGGAGAATATGAAAGGGAGAATTGGTAGACATCAGATCAGTATTTTCAAAACCATTTTGAGTGATTTAAATAAAAGAAATATAAATTTATGTAATTTGACAAATTTAGCAGTACTTCGACATATTGCCTCGAACAGAAACCATTGGAGAAATTTGTTTAGTTTTTGATTCATTAATTTTTGTTGGGTTAAATAGTTAAGTTTGTTTTCAGAGTTCTTCACGTAGACTTATCAGATCCCTAGGATGTTTTTATATTACTACTTCGGATTTGTGTAAAGTTTGATAATATGCTAAATTATAAAACAAACTATTTTTACTCGAAATAAAACAGAGGTTTTCCCAGGAAACTTTGATAATACTGTGTATAATACTGTATAGTTATAATCACATTTAAGTTAATCTATCATAATTCTTAATTGACTTGAAGTAATTAACCTCATGAAAATGTTATTGAACAAACAATACTTGTTCAAAAATATTGGAGGAATACTGCTTAAAATATGCAAAAACATACGTAAAGGTCACGACACAACCTATTCAGGCTTTAATAATCTGAACTAAGGCATGGAAAGAAGTGGAAGATTAAATTTAAATAAAAAAGTAATCGAGCAGTGATCTGAACTAAGCTAAACCGTGGTCTGGTCCTTTTAAAGTTTAAATCTTAAACAAGAACAATTTATTCATCAGGCCTCTAAAATCAGGCAAGGTGTAAAAGAGTAAAAGGAAGTCCATAAAATAGAGGTCTACATAATATGATCAGCCTTTGGTCAACATTCAAGTATCATTTTTGAGTATGTTAACTCTCTGTGTTGTTTTCACATGGTGATTCTTCGTGGCTAATTCGGAAATGATCTATCATGTCGTCTGTCAATTCTACCCCAACGAACTGTTCTGAAAATAACTCCATGTTTAGATTCAACCATTCGAGTTGAACAAAATCTGGATGCATAGGATTTGAATTGTGGGTTAAACAGAAAATATGGTACAGACCAGAAGAGTCAATGTTATCTAACTAGTATTATATGTAAGTGATGTTTACTGTTGCATCAGCAAATTATCTATTCGGTGGGTATTATACTCAGTAGATAGCAATCGGATTAAATGGATATCGGTTACTCACTCAGCATTTTGGAGGAAAGTTTGTAAACCTCGCATTCATTTTCGTCGTGATAGTGCCTAAAATGACTGATGATCCCGTCTGTGATGTTCGTGCCAACAAATTTACCTGAATGTTTTAATCGGTTAATTAGGAGTAGGAGAAGATACCGATTTTATTTCAATTTCTCTGTAAATATGCATACCACTAACGAGTGTAATTCGTCAATAACACAAACACTTCTTTATAACCGATTAACTAATCAATTAACAAATCAATTAACTAATCAATTAACTAATCAATTAACTAATCAATTAACTAATTAATTAACTAATCAATTAGATAACTAATTAATTAATTAACTAATTAACATGGAAATAAATATATTAAATAAGTACTGACGTAGCAAGCCCCAGCTTGTAGTGAGCTGCTCATACAGATCATCAGAGAACACCACATTGTGGTACGGAGCGGTAAATAACACGTCCCAACGGGTGATGTCTTCGTACTTTCTAGCTCCTTCCAGCAGGGACTTTATCTTTGTCATGTTAGCAGCGCAGGTTTCCAACTCCTCCAGTGTCCGGTTATGCTCTGTAGTTTCTGCTCCAAGTTGACTTTTGACTGTGGCTAGTTTGGCTTGTGACGCATTAAAACGGCCAGTTTCAGCTCCAAGTTGACTTCTGATGGTGGCTAGTTCGGCTTGTGACGCATTAAAACGGCCAGTTTCAGCTCCCAGTTGACTTCTGATGGTGGCTAGTTTGGCTTGTGACGCATTAAAACGGCCAGTTTCAGCTCCCAGTTGACTTCTGATGGTGGCTAGTTCGGCTTGTGACGCATTAAAACGACTAGTTTCAGTCTCAAGTTTGTACTCGGTCCTGTTCAACTGTCCAGTCAGACTTTCAAACTCTCCAGTAAGACTTTCAAGTTCCTTCTTCACACTCTTAAGCTCAACCTCTGTTTCATTCAGACTTGCTTGTGACTCACGAGTGTTCTTCACTATCTGTTCACAACCTGTGTCAATATCCGTCACCGACCCGCTCCTCGACCTCTTCACAATATCCTCCCAACGTAACACTCTCGTCTCAGATAGCTCATCCAAGTCGAAACACAACCCACCATTCGCTATCTTCTTTATATCAGCAGCACTCAGGACATCAGCAAACATATTAAATTGGTAAAGATTACCTCAAACACATAACTAGAACTGCGTTGGTAACTTCCATTCCACAGTTGTGGTTTGGAAGTTCCAAACCACAACTGTCCGCCCATGGTAAGTGACTTCCCTGCTGCTGTCTGGGCTGTTCCCAGGAGTTCACCAGCTAAATACACCTTACTTGTCCTTGAAGACAGAGACCATGTCAGGCAGATACTGAACCATTTACCGGTGGGCGTGGTAAACTTACCACGTGTTGAGCTATACAGACCATTATCTCCTACTACACCAGTGTAATACCCATTAGACGTCATAATTCTCCCAGCCAGTAGAGCTATGGTAGTAGTTAAACAATGTAGGTCTGCTTGGGGAGGTGTGCAGATGCTTTATCCATGTACAGATTGAAAGGGACTCTCGGAAAGGGGACATATCAAAACTAAACGTCACATAATCACTACTGCTAGTTCCAAACTGCAAGGCATTATACCCTCCTTCAGCATCATCGGACTGGACGGACGCTACTAAAATCAGCACAACTAAGAGGGGCAACATATCGGCGGAGTGAATGTCAGGAATAACACTTTTACTGATTAATGTGCTACAGTGCCCTGTCTAAATACACAGAATTAGAAGATGGAGACTTTCTGGAGTTGGAGCAAATACTTTTACCGCGATCTTGCACTGAACCGGAAAATATTAATGTTATCTACAATCGAACAAGGTGGCACGGCAAACCTTACACAGCTGGCACAATCCTCAAACCGGATAACTGGGCTGCATATTATCATGTTCATTCCTTGGTTTATTTGGTGTTCAGATGACGTGTAGCCTTCACAGCGCTTGTTTGAAACATATAATTATAAAATAAGGTTTCTTGATCGTAAAGTGCGATATTATATTATACTAGTGTAACCCGTGCCTTCGGCCGGGACTTTACTGTCACAGTTGCAATGTAAAAATATACAACCGCATTATATATTTGATATCACGCATAACGCTTATGAAATCTCCCTACAGTTGAAACAAAGCGGCCGCAAGAGTGAGCTCTAAGCTTATAGTATTACGTGGGGCTAAATTAATTACGGTACATGTTATCCTCCTCATTCTCTCTCCCATCCATTTATGTCACATTTCTGGAACAAAATCATCAATTAAACCACTTACCACCGGCCGATTTTTATAGAATTTGCTTATGGGCTTCGTCAGAGTTTTGTCAGCACTATACTGAAAAAACCAGTCCCGTAACTATTACCGTTTTTTTTGTATAACCGTCCGGAAATTACACACACAGACACACACACAGACACACACACAGACACACAGACACACACACATTCTGGTGTTATTAAGTTGATAAGTTTTGAAATTATATTTCAGTAAACTCGATTTAATTTGCAATGCAGATGTGAACGGAAAGGATGAAGTAAAGATGATTCAGTACAAAATCATGGTAAAGTACGACGTACGTTACCCATTTTCGGTGCCCATTTTCAAATGGACGTGTTTCACTGTGCACTGGTTTATTGGTTAGTGCGATTATCATAATCCATAATCGCAATTATTCGCACTACAAGGGAGCGAAATCATTGTACTATACATCGTCACCTGGAATGGAATGTTACTTTGTATTGTTTGTTGTTACAATTTAAAGTGGAATATAGTTGGTCAAAATGAGTTAACCTCAACGGAATTCCAATATAATAACAATGTTCAAAAAAGTAAAATGATCATGATCAAACGATTGGGCGACATCTGTCCGACTCAGAAAATAGGTTATTCGGACAATAGTTTATGTCGGATCCTACCGTACAATTTTCTTGAAACTTTCCATTATTACATAAAGTATGGTGGTAAAAGGATGGATAATCTGTGTAAGTTTGAGCTAGTTTATATGTGCCAAATTTGAGATATCATCTTAAACACAAAAAATATCTCTAATTCGGTGGTTTGCAGTATTTTTAATTGTATACTAGTATAGTACCAAGGCATATATCTGGAGATCCAACGATACGATTTTCTTGAAACTTTCTAGATAGTAAGATAGCTTTAAGACAAATAATTTGTGCAAGTTTGGGTGAATTTCTGTGTGCCAAATTTGAGATATCACTTCGAATTAAACACAAGACAATGGTGCTGTCGGACAGATTTCGCTGTTGGACAGATGTCGTGTTACCAGATCGAACGCCTTTATAAAAATTAAAATTAATTTTATCTTATCTGTTATCTCTTTGTCTCATATTCATATTTTATACTGGTCCGTAAATCTTACCTGGGGACCTCTATTATGTACGTTCATAAACAATAAAGATTCGGCGGAATGACAGGCTGATCGCGGCCCAGTAACGTAAATCGTGCACTATCAGTAAATAATCAGTGAATTATCCTGGATTTGCACTAAATATTGCTTTAATTTATAAGCTCTCCGGTTGCGGTTTCCAGCACTGATATTTCAGTGTTCATGCGTCAGAACGAGTCGGAGTAGTTTGTGCGAGCGTGCCAAATCACTTTTTCATTTAAACTGCACTCGAACTCGAACGAGATTTCTTTAAAAGTTAAAAGTTGAAACTAACCTTAATGGACGTATTTTCGAACGCGCTGATTCCGAATCACTGCATGCACAGTCCACATGACAATGACATGCATAGGGTTATTTTTAAAATGCTCCCCCAACGGCCGACCGCCTATCGAGATTTCGACGAAAAACTGTCTCGATCACGTGATATAAGGAAGTTGGTATGATTTCTCGTTAGAGTTTTACTTTTAGCATATCAAATATGCTTTTAACGGGTGATACTCGTAAAATATTTGCTCCAAGACCGTCGACGAGTCCAACTCGGCGCGCGTCTTGGTAGGTTATTGACATACGTTGCATGCCACTTTTCGCGCGCGAAGCGCGCGCCGCCGAAGGATACCGCCGAAGGATACCGCCGAAGGATACCGCCGAAGGATACCGCCGAAGGGATACGAAACATGTATCAAGTAGGTTATAAACCTACAAATATGCATCAAATTCAGTTACGGATTGGGTTAGGCCTACTTTTATGGGTAGGGTTAGGGTAAGTGTTCGAGGCCAGGGTTAGGGCTTCGAATACCTTCGTGGCCACATAGAGAACGTCAGAACGTGTTAAAAAATTATGTTATACTTACAGTGTAAACTTAAAATAATTAATCATCATGTCCGAGTTCAGAGTTTGTGGAAACTTTTCAAATAAATTTGTGAGGTCTAACATCTAAGGTCTTTGTAATGTTGTTTATTAATTTAGAGCTGCAACATGCAAGCTGCAGCAATTTAAATTTGCATTATTTTTGAGTGTGAAAATGTGGTGGATCAGTCCACATCCAGTTTCCTAAATTAAAATATGTAATTATCGTCGGCCTAACCTTGCTCTATCCAAAGCCCTTTTACTGGGCGGTGCTCAGCCTGTCATACCGCCGAATCTTTATGTTTATGAACGTATAATAGTCTGGGGTCCCCAGGTAAAAGCTCTTTTAGCCGTACCGGCGGTAAAAATTTCTTTACTTGTGAAACAAGCGCGCCCGAAGCGGCGCGAAAGCACATGGTTAGGTGGAGCCTAACCTTTTAGACTTAACTCTGCGAAGTAGCGTGCGTCGACCAGTCACCCCATTAACAAATAATATGAAATAACAATGGACAAATGAATTATACCGGATAACGATTCCAGGATCTTACCTGGGGACCTGATCAGGCTTTTATTTGTCATACGTTGTAATTGTATGACCCGCCGCGCACGAGTGCGCGGCTCCCCCTGTATCATGTATCGTAGAAACTCTACAGGGGTACGACCGTGGGGGTCACGACGTGATACAAATCAAGCTATCATGTTCATAATGATAAACATATATATCATATATATAGATTAAAAATAAATTAATGTACACAAATTTTGCCTCAGATATATGTTTTTTTACGTTTTGAATTTTTAACACTTGTTTTTATATCATGAATACGATGTAGTTACATTGAAACGTCGAGTTATCTCCTTTCCCTAATAAGAGCATTTTTACTTGTCGCAACAACCGGGATAAAGATAAATTAACACAGAATACATTACAACAATGCGACTCATAAATAATACTCCAATCCGGATTTTACATATATATAGAGATTAGGCGGATCGAATGACAAGCTGAGCACCGCCCAGTAACCAGGATCCAGCCGCGAATACAGCATGGCGGGATTTATCGACCTTGCTACCAGTGGAAAATCGTACCTGTGCCCCCCCCCCCACCTCCACGAAAAGGGGGGGGGGGGGGGGGGACGCGGAAAAAAATCTTTCGCGTCCACCAAACTTTGAATTTGACAGGATAATATTTCACAAATTGGGCATTTTGTACCTGAAAAATACCTAAAATTCGGAAAAATGTTGTAGGTTTATAACCTACCAGGACTCGCACCGAGTTGGACTCATCTTACGTATCACCTTCTCCAAACAAATAGGGACAAGAGTAAAAGCATTTATTGGTATCAGTTGACGTTAAAAATAAATGGTTTAGATATTACATATTAGCAAAGGTACTTTTGTTAAAGCAAATCTAGAAGTATTACGGATTATTATATTCATACGCCCTTTATAAATATTTCAATAACCAAAACATCAACCTAAACAAACATCAGGAATGTGATATCATGTGATTTTTACAAACTTACATTGACTAGAGTGAAAATAAATTAATCTAATTATTTAAACTTCTTAACACAGAGCATTATCCGAAATAATTGGTAAATAATTTTCAAACCTAAAACAAATTTAGTTTAAATGGGTTTATGTTAAAAAGGACGGTTTTACCTTTTAACTTAGACAAATGTTTGGAAAAACGTGATTAAATTATGCATTTCAAAAGGAAGGCCTTCTGAAATAACCATAATATTAATACCAAAAATAAAACTCTAATAACTAGGCCGCTTGGTTCTATCCCAAGAGGAAGAAGGAATGTAAAAATAAAATTCCACTCAAATAGCAAAACACAATTATGTTAAATAAAAGCTTTCATGATGAGTTTAACATCCAGGGCTTATCCGATTATGATAATGTTGAGCGGAGTAACTTGTAGTAATCCAACTCTGAACAAACCTAATAAAACTTAATTTTCACTCACACACGAGAATATAACGTTGACATTATGTTGTCGAATGCTGATATCTTGATGTTTAATGATGATATCGTGAGGTTGAATGTTGATATTATCTGGATATGCTAACTGGGACCTCGGTACAGAGAAGAAACTGCGAACAATAGGAAAACAACCCCTCCTATCAGTGTCACTGAAACAATTGTGGGGTGTTAGGGAGGCTGGAGGGAGGGGTTAGAGGGACTGGATTGAGGGTAAGAGAGGGGGCGTTGGAGGGGAAGAGGGGCTAGAGGGGTTGGGACTGGATTGGGAGGTTAGGAGGTTGGTGGACTGAAGGGAGAGGGGCGGGCGGGAATGGATCGAGGGTTAGGGGGCTAAAGGGCCTAGAAGGGCCAGGGAGGGCCTTTGGGGTCGCCGCTGTTTAAGCCACCGTGTTCGGATGTTTTGGATTAATGTAAATTACAGTGGGCAAACAATCAGTTAATTGCTTTTGCGTCGGTTTAAACAGCTCTCACTGTGTAGCAGATAATATACTCGTGTATATTAAACTGGCCCTGCGTGTACATTGTACATCATGGTTAACAAATACTTGGAGAATCTTGACAATGAAATAGCGTTGAATTACTCTACACTCAAATTCAGATCAATGTATGCTGAACAGATTTTGGGTGCTCAGATTATGCTACTCAACGATATGCGTCAAGCGGCAGGTGTTCAGAAATCCAATGTGTTACGTAAAGAAACGCTCAACAAGCCTCAGATCACCAAGGCTACGCTGTGTGATTGGATGGAAACTTTTATCGACATTCTCGACAGTTATTGTTCACCGCTGTTGTTTTCAGCCACCAAACTACAAGATGAAATCGACCAACTGAAGGACGAAAAGATTGCAGATCAGAACACTGTGATTAAACTGCAAGGACAATTGCTTGAGAAGAAAAGTGAAGATTTGACCTCTGTTCAGACGACAGTGAAAAGCGAACTCAAAGCCTGGTCGTCAGTTGTGAAGAATTCATGCAGCAAGGCGCTAGCGCCTAAGAAAATGAAAGCTGCTCTGAAACGTGCCTCCGAGGAAGAGGATCGTAGTCAAAATCTGGTCATCTACGGTCTACCAGAAAAGAGTGAAGAAATCCTGGAAAAGAGAGTGCTTGAGGTACTAGAAAACATAGATGAGAAACCTCGAATCGTTTCTTGCTGTAGGATGGGGAGAACTGTATCAGATGGAGGACCAGCCGTTAAACCTATCAAGTTCACTCTCAGCGGCTCAGATCATGTGCGGCAAGTGTTGAGCAAAGCGAGAAAACTAAGAGAAGTGGAGGGGTATGACTCAGTGTACATCAGCCCCGACCGATCAGCCGAGCAGAGAGCTGCCTTCAGGAAGTTAGTTCTTGAAGTCAAGCAGAAACGGGAATTGGAGCCTCAGCGAGTTCATGTTATAAGGAACAATAAGATCGTAAGCTCCGAGAAGGACTGATGGGATATGATTTTTTATCAACATATTATTTAATTGATTTTCATTTACCAGGGACTAGGCTTGTGCGGTGTGGTTTCGACGACAATTTTACTGCGTTCTGGTTTCCCTTTGAAATTTACATACATCTGTCCTTTAGAGATCGCAATCAGTTATATTTTGTTTTTATTTTGCGCCACATGTTATATTGTATGTAAATTTTGAAGAGATTTTCATAAAAAAAACACAGAAGTTTCTCCTACCTGTTCGAACTGATATACGTTGAGCGATCATCCGGCCACCAATAACAGCGCCGGCGGTGCACAAACTGTGCCCAAAACACCCACCTATACATACTCCCCACGGGTCCTGAAAATAACCAATTGAGGACTGAAACAATATGATTGATACGGAATGAGCGCTTTTTATCATCACAGTTGCACTTTGCAGTTTTGCGGTGGAATATGAATTTCCAATCTTTTTCCACTATGAAAGTATGAACTGATGTATTCACAGAAGCGAAGGGAAAGTTCAGAATTTCCTCTACTTAGAGGGGAAGTTCGGGATATTTTAATTAAACTATTTAAAGAACTTTACCTCCCTAGAGGACAATATTATAGTAGTAATTTGTGACCGGTCGCCCCATTCTGCTAGAAACGTCATTGTAAATGCCTGAAATAACTCATATCACTGAATGAGAAGACTGATAACAGTCTAGTAGTTCAAGAAGAGAGAATGGAGCAGACAATTATAATAAATTATACTCAATAAATTATAAGTTATAAGTTATTAGAAACCTGCTAGTCGAAAGCTTTGTTCCAGGAAATTTTAAAAATCAGATTTGTTTTTAATTTTATTTCTCTTCATCATCTCTCTGCTCGATTTTATATGTATCGATTTTATTTGACAATGACGAAAACATTGTAAGTATTCGGATTTCGGATTTCCTAAAAGATACTTTTTACCGCATCAAAAAACATCAATTGTAACCAAAGTTATGGATAGTCATATAAGCGTAAATTGTAATGTGAGCTAGTTATGACGTATCATTATAAAGCATGGCAACGCGCGTTGATAATTAAATCTGTTCTTGCTCACGCACGTGCAATCTCGTGATGTTGCTAAGCAACGACGCAGGTAACCTTTGCTAAAATAACGCCATTATTCTAACTTTTATTTCACCTCATTTCCGTCGTTAATTATAGAAAATCTAAAGCCTTAATCAAAATTCTTAGAATGTTATCTCCTATTCCTATTATATTCCTATTATATCTTTTCTTACAACCCTGCTAAAAATCGCGAGGTTCCAACTCCATTTTCGAGCTAAAATTGGTCACGCCGGATCGAGGGTCGGTTTTTGGTCGATTTTCTATTTACCCGTTGCCGGGGGGATTTCGTCAAGTTTAAAATATAATATAGATAAGTTATAAGTTATAAGTTTAAGATATTAACAAGTTTAGATATTAACAAGTTACGCATCAAGATTATCCTTACAGTTATAAATATGGGTGAGAAAATAGATTTAAAGATAGAGCCGATAGGAGAGGGTGTACTGCTAACTGCCGCAGTCTCACTTGCTCCAGTTTCCAGATCTGATACGGTCTTCTGGTTATCAAGCTGTGGATGTTTAGAGTTGACACTTTAATTACTTGAAAGTTGTAATTATATAATGTGATTATAATCATTGATTAGAAATATCATTGGATCGTGGCCAGTAATCAGATATAATTTGAAGAACTTTGGATAGAATCTAGTCTTGAAACCAAGAAATTACCAAGTGATTAAGATTGGATCTTCAGAAATTTGTGATTTTAACGAAATTAGTGAAATAACGCCCAGCACAATCTAATTAAGATAAAGTACTGAGATAATATGCAAACCTCTTCCTCTTTTTTCTTCAGCTCCATCTGGACCTCTTCTAACTCCTCCTGTCCCTCGTCATCGTTCATGTGATAACCCTCGTATAACATGCGTAGTCCTGACAAGTGTCACGTGTTACTTTATAGTGTCACGTGTTACTTTATAGTGTCACGTGTTACTTTATAGTGGCACGTGTTATTTTATAGTGCACGTGTTATTTTATAGTGTCACGTGTTACTTTATAGTGTCACGTGTTACTTTATAGTGTCACGTGTTACTTTATAGTGTCACGTGTTACTTTATAGTGGCACGTGTTACTTATTATAGTGGCACGTGTTACTTTACAGTGTCACGTGTTACTTTATAGTGTCACGTGTTACTTTATAGTGGCACGTGTTACTTTATAGTGTCACGTGTTACTTTATAGTGTCACGTGTTACTTTATAGTGTCACGTGTTACTTTATAGTGTCACGTGTTACTTTATAGTGTCACGTGTTACTTTATAGTGTCACGTGTTACTTTATAGTGTCACGTGTTATTTTATAGTGTCACGTGTTACTTTATAGTGTCACGTGTTACTTTATAGTGGCACGTGTTACTTTATAGTGTCACGTGTTACTTTATAGTGTCACGTGTTACTTTATAGTGTCACGTGTTACTTTATAGTGTCACGTGTTACTTTATAGTGTCACGTGTTACTTTATAGTGGCACGTGTTACTTATTATAGTGACACGTGTTACTTTACAGTGTCACGTGTTACTTTATAGTGTCACGTGTTACTTTATAGTGGCACGTGTTACTTTATAGTGTCACGTGTTACTTTATAGTGTCACGTGTTACTTTATAGTGTCACGTGTTACTTTATAGTGTCACGTGTTACTTTATAGTGGCACGTGTTACTTTATAGTGTCACGTGTTACTTTATAGTGTCACGTGTTACTTTATAGTGTCACGTGTTACTTTATAGTGTCACGTGTTACTTTATAGTGTCACGTGTTACTTTATAGTGTCACGTGTTATTTTATAGTGTCACGTGTTACTTTATAGTGTCACGTGTTACTTTATAGTGGCACGTGTTACTTTATAGTGTCACGTGTTACTTTATAGTGTCACGTGTTACTTTATAGTGTCACGTGTTACTTTATAGTGTCACGTGTTACTTTATAGTGTCACGTGTTATTTTATAGTGTCACGTGTTACTTTATAGTGTCACGTGTTACTTTATAGTGTCACGTGTTACTTTATAGTGGCACGTGTTACTTTATAGTGTCACGTGTTACTTTATAGTGGCACGTGTTACTTATTATAGTGTCACGTGTTACTTTACAGTGTCACGTGATACTTTATAGTGTCACGTGTTACTTTATAGTGGCACGTGTTACTTTATAGTGGCACGTGTTACTTTATAGTGTCACGTGTTACTTTATAGTGTCACGTGTTGCTTTATAGTGTCACGTGTTGCTTTATAGTGTCACGTGTTACTTTATAGTGTCACGTGTTATTTTATAGTGTCACGTGTTATTTTATAGTGTCACGTGTTACTTTATAGTGTCACGTGTTACTTTATAGTGTCACGTGTTATTTTATAGTGTCACGTGTTACTTTATAGTGGCACGTGTTACTTTAAAGTGTCACGTGTTACTTTATAGTGTCACGTGTTACTTTAAAGTGTCACGTGTTACTTTATAGTGTCACGTGATACTTTATAGTGTCACGTGTTACTTTATAGTGGCACGTGTTACTTTATAGTGTCACGTGTTATTTTATAGTGTCACGTGTTACTTTATAGTGTCACGTGTTATTTTATAGTGACACGTGTTACTTGACACGTAAAAAATACTTACAAAATACCTCATAATTACTTATTACTACAAGTAATTTTATAACTACTTACTCACAATAATTTGTATAACTTACCAACGATGTGCCTCTTGCCGGGGAGAAGTAAATCCAAGAAAATGCACCATTTTCAGAATATCAGAGTCCCTTGAGGGACGTTACAGGTATTGTAAACAGGAAGAACTCACCGAATATAACAAAGAGAAACGTTGCAGCGTAGAAAGTGTACACTTGAGGGATGATTGTAGTTATGAAGCCCAAAACTACTGATAATATCGTCATTACAACTGAAAAACACGAAATTAGAAACCAATAGACGAAAGATAACTCAGCATTATGAGTTAAATTTAATCGATTATTTATATTACTGGATAACACTAATTAATTAATAACTCATTAAAAAAGTGATGTAAATATGAAAATATATCTGATAAGCTGAAACCACACAATCAAAGCAAAACAACTCACTTAATGCGCCGATAGCCGCGCTGAATATCAACATTCTGGGATGCTTCATAGCCATGATAGCGGCGATAAAAAACGTTTTATCTCCTGAAGAAAGAGAGAGAGAGGGTGAGATAACACAAAGTAGGGGGCAGGTACGGTACCTGCCCGAGGTACCCCGAGAGTACCCAGGTTTACAAATTAAAAGTACCCTTTGAAAAAACAAGATTTTTTTTCCACTTGTTCGCCTCCAGAAGCTCTGCTGCATATTATGTGAAAAACAAGATTCGCGGCAATTTGTAATTTAAGCACTACTTTCGACTAAGATAGTCCGAGAATTCCGAGTTTTATAGTATGTCACTTCAAATGTTTTACGGAGTTTCATTTCATGCTAATATTACGAACATTATGTCACGTTATTGTATCGTGTGCCAAACATTATTGACGACGATTAACACATGTTTATTGAAAGCTTCTACAAGTTAAACCATCGTATCTCTTATATGTTTAATGTTTATAACCCAACTCCATTCAGTATTATTGACTGGTATTCACTATTCTGTCTCATCTTGGTTATAACCTTATAATTTGTTTCTAACATTTCGAATACATTTCAAAATTTGGATGCCTCCAGTATCTGCACCACTGTACACATTGATTCAGATATGTCGAGTGTCAACAATCTTCAACCGTTATCAAGTCAGTTCTTGGGATAATTTAAACAAAAACTGTCTTATCTAATTGACTAGCACAGAAATAAATATATTCTCAATTAGTGACAAGATAACGACTGAATTAGTAACACTAACCTATCTCGGAGACGATGATGACTGCCAGGGACACAAAGAAGCCATGCCAGAAGCCAGGCTGCATGTACTTATCAAGTAAAGAGTTGTACAGTCCACTCAGGTCAGTGGCTGCAGTGGCAGCAATCTGGGGAGAGGGTATTGTTGGTCATTTTAAAGTCATTATAAAGTCATTATAATAGTCATTATAAAGTCATTATAAAGTCATTGTAAAGTCACTATAAAGTCATTATAAAGTCATTATAAAGTCATTAGCAAGTCATTAACAAGTCATTAACAAGTCGTTATGAAGTCATTATATAGTCATTATGAAGTCATTAACAAGTCTTTAACAAGTCATTGACAAGTCATTACTGAGTCATTATGAATTCATTACTAATTCATAAAAAAGTCATTAACAAGTCATTATAACAAGTCATTAACAAGTCATTAACAAGTCATTAACAAGTCATTAACAAGTCATTATCAATATATAATTAACAAAAAGTAGTTTAAATGAATTGTGTTTTTGAGTTACAATGAGGTATAGTTATAATGTACATATATAAGATCCAGCGGTTTACCTGCTACGAAAGTTTAAAATTTAGGATATTGTATAATGAATGACCAGTGTTACGATTAGTTTTAAAATCAAGGTCACATATTGCAGCAGATCAGACAACAAGATCAGGAAGCGAACAAGAAGGACAGTACCAGAAGTGATTGGGTTGTCTACGTACGGTGCACATGTTACTACATATTGGGGTTTCTTTCTTACAAGTGCATTGTGCACACTCAGGAGTAACAAACTGTCTAAGTAGCGATCTAAGATTTAGGCGTGTAACTCCTATAGAAGGTTCACGGGCTGCTCCGTTCTTAATTAGCTCAGATTACGCACTGCTAAAAGACGTAGCGGCGGCAGCCAAGAAGCAATGCAACTTAGACTTATACCCCTTGTACCCCGCCCTATGGTAACAATCGGCTGTGAATTAAAAAAGTGAATAAAAAATGTTCAAATATTTTCAATGACACGTACTAATTAATTACTCTTGACATGTGTTGATATATTGTTAACGTGTGTTGAAATGAGAGTCCATATACAGTTGCAATAGGCGTTGAAATGTGTCACAAATTTTTTGGTTTTGCCGCTATTAGCTGTCTTAATCATCTTAATTGTCTGGGGTATCTACCTTTATTTCTCATATGCACTAACAATCATTGCCATTGTTCTTTGCAGTTCGTTTTCAGTTCGTTAATCATGGACAACGCCATCACTGAAAGTTTTTTAAACCAAATCGAGGAACTGGTGATCAGATTATTTCACAACATTATCCTTGAAATCGTTGACGACGAAGAAATTCGTGCTATATTGAGGCAGATCCTGAACTTTGGATTATTCTTGATAAGAAGGAACATTAGCCCGGGGATGAGGTGCACCACATTACTTGGACTCTTAGTTGTTTGCCTAGTTGGCAGATATCTAGCTCTAGCTAGATATCTGCAAACAAGTTATCAGGACAGAACTTAGAACTCTGTAAATCGTGTTTTTTATTATCGGGCAATTTAAGTTTTCAGACGTTTTAACTTATTGAAATCATTTTTCTGAGCCTAGGTTTTATCTTGATATACAGTGCAAGTGTAGGTTTACTGGTTACCTCTCTCTATGTAACTGTTATAATATATGATTATAATACAGGGTGGGCCAAAAGTCACTGGACATGCGTTGGCCTTAATAGCTCCGCCGTGTTTTATATTTGAGAGCTGTTGCTTTGCAGATAGCATACTGTACCTTCTGGTTCGAGGATTCCGTCGTCAAAATTTGAAAATTCGAATATTTTAGACCACGCCCATTCAAAATTAAAACACCTATATTGTTCTCTCTGAACATGCTGGACGCCTGATTTTTTCAGAGACGGTAGATTATTAAATGTTGCATCTGATCTGAAAAAATTACATAAAACAGATTAGAAATGATGAAGTTATCAAGCATTTTCTGTATCTCGTTAACAAAATTGACTGGGTGATTGTGTGACACCGTGACACGACACCTTAATTGGGCAGCCTTAACGATTCCCACAATGTTTAATGGGGTGGTTAACCTTATCACGTGATCAGGTAAGCCAATCACCTGATCACACGTAATGAATAAACTTGTTATGCTTCGTATCTCAGCCATCTGAAAAGCTACAACTCTAATTTTTTAAGGACAAACGTAATTCGAATGGCCAAACACAATTCAATAAAATTTAGCTCGATCCGACTATCCAAACTATCAAATAAATGCAAAAATGAACCTTCATTCGAAAAAATGAACTCGAATATTTTTCGATTTGCCAAATTCCTCGAACCAGTGGTGGTAGTAATTCGTACCAGAAAGAATTATTTAATTGGTCACTCAGTGACTGAGCTATTAAGGCCAACGTATGTCCAGTGACTTTTGGCCCGCCCTGTACAAATTAAGTATAATAACTGTTTTTGTTTATAAATATTCGCATTTGTTTTATTAACAGCTTCATATATATTAGGACGCAATGAAACTACCGGACTTTCCACCCCATGGCAACATTAAAATATAATCGACTCTGTTACATTGTTTCCTCAAATTATTTGTTGTTATATATAGTAGTGTTGAAAGTATTAAAACAGCTTCATATCACATGTTAGTGAAGTTAAAAATCGCACGGTGATACTAATATAACTGTTTAGATAGTATAAATGACTAAATTTGAAAGTCTAACATTTGCAATATGGCACACCCGAAATTATTTGTAGAATTAATAAAGCAGCAAAATAAATCTCAAATCTCACCACTTGTGTATCGTTGTAGACTAGTTGTGCTACGGGATCCATGGCTAGTGCTGTGTCTGTGTTACTATGCTAACTTTATACAGAGTGTAGAGTGTGTACAATTAGAGCGATTACATTTAGCTAACAATTGATAATTCAACCTTTTAAAAGTTAAAAAAGTCTCAAACTTAACAAATAAATTTTGCGGGTAATAAGGGAAAATAGAAGAAAACCAAAATATTGGGCCAAAAACAACGAACTCCACGTCATGTTTGTCGCGAGTAATTTAAATACTGACTAGAATTATACACCAGAATCTGGTAACCACAGTAACCAGATGATGCTTTAATAAACCCACAAATTTACTCAACAATATCTGACATGCGAAATTGTATATAATGTCGAGAAAACTACGCTCTGTGAGGGGATTGTAAATATTATAACACGTGTTCAAAAGATACTGTGTCGTAAATGCATAGCATGATTAGTACTAAGATACAAAACCTTTATATAGCACATAGTAGAGTGTCAGTCTGCAGACAACTAGGATCAGATGATCTCAGGCTCACAAAATACCAGGAAGCTGGTATGAAATAAAAACGAATTTTAAATGTCATTTTGGTGATTCCCATTTCCCAACAAATCCCGGCTAAGCTACAACAAGAGAATAACGTTTCGACTAAAGAGCAATAGTACACGAGATAGCGACAATGTAACTGATTGGAAATTTAAGTACAAGTTTTTGGCGTCCAGCCTCCGGCCCACCTGCTCAGAATTTAGATCGTGTTAGGTATCAGGTGGTCAGTTTAATGTGTGTTCAAAAAGTACATTCGTAATAAGATTATCCCGTCAGTATAAAAGGAATTTACACGTTTGAACAGAAGTCATATTGTAGATGGGTTCACTGGGACCAGATCTGAAGCAGTGATCTGAAATACAGCTGCAAAATCCAGGAATAATATAAGTACGAGTTCAACGAAACATTTTGTTGACAACATTTTGAAGTGAGGCAAAACCAGACTACACTACGATAATTAAGATAAGTGTTAGACGAAATATTAGACGAATATTGACACAAAAGCACACACTATTACCCAACTCTTACTACTTACCGCTGATAATCATATGTGTATTATCACAGTACTCTGTGTGACTAAATGTTTGGGGAGGATGATTATCGTAGTGAAGAACTGTACTGTGAAGTGTGAAGTGTACTATGAACGTACCATTATCACATTACTCTGTGTGACTAAATGTTTGGGGAGGATGATTATCGTAGTGAAGAACTGTACTGTGAAGTGTGAAGTGTACTATGAACGCACCATTATCACAGTACTCTGTGTGACTAAATGTTTGAGGAGGATGATTATCGTAGTGAAGAACTGTACTGTGAAGTGTGAAGTGTACTATGAACGTACCATTATAAATATCTCCGGGATTTCGACGCGGGATCATATTATCACTCAGCCCGGCCCGCTGTTAGATAAACATCTCAAGGTGATATCATCCCGCCCCGGAAATTTGTATAAACCCGGCCCGCTTTTTAGTCGTAACTGATGTTTATCATTCAATTCTCCGACTTACAATAATCAATGATACTGCTGATTAGAACTCGATAATAGTAGAACAGTTAGACGCGCGATCACGTGGGCGCGTCACGTGCGTACCACGTGCCACCAATAGCATACGCTGAGTCTATACCACGTGACACGAAAGCGCACCACGTGATATGAAACATCGTAACCGTCCACTTCTTTTACACGCAAATTCCTGGGAACGTTGCCAAAGCAGCTAATTCTTGGAATTTCTCCAACGCGTGGCGTGAGAAGTTGGCGACTAGCCAGCTACCCTTGTCCGTGCCCTAAAATAGTATTGTTTTGCTTGCTCTCCTTCCAGCTCTTGTTCCTGCTAACGTTCAAGCTATTGCTCCACTTACACTATGACAGATCGGTTTGACATTCAGATTCTAATGTATTTCTAAAGTATAAATCCCTTGTCGAAATCGCCGGAGATAATTATAATCCATAAACACTTCACGCTCAGGGCTAAATAAATGTAATCCCTCAGCTGGCGCTTCGGGATTACATATTAACACAAAACTCGTGCGCTGCGCGCACTCGTATGTGTTTATCAGATCATCCCGCTAGCGCGGGATGATCTGTTATATAAACCCTTTGCGTGGCGGGTTTATGTTATTATCACAGTACTCTGTGTGACTTAATGTTTGGGGAGGATGATTATCGTAGTGAAGAACTGTACTGTGAAGTGTGAAGTGTACTATGAACGCACCATTATCACAGTACTCTGTGTGACTAAATGTTTGGAGAGGATGATTATCGTAGTGAAGAACTGTACTGTGAA